AGTTAGTTAGTTAGTTAGTTAGTTAGTTAGTTAGTTAGTTAGTTAGTTAGTAGTAGTTAGTTAGTTAGTTAGTTAGTTAGTTAGTTAGTTAGTTAGTTAGTAGTTAGTTAGTTAGTTAGTTAGTTAGTTAGTTAGTTAGTTAGTTAGTTAGTTAGTTAGTTAGTTAGTTAGTTAGTTGTTAGTTTGTTATTTACGACCATGTTGCGGACCATATATTCCCATCATTTCAGAAAGGGGCTACTCTTACGATTACTCCCTTGTAATGCGTTGATGTATTGCGTGGTCCTCACGTAGGACAGCACAATGTTAAATGAAGTATTTTTTCTATATATTTGTAATAGTTTTGGAAAATCTTTTAAATCTTCTTAAAAATCAAACAAAAACAAGTGAGAGTGTTATATTCGGCTGTGCCGAATCTCATTTACCCACCATCAAACCGTATGCCTTAAAAGGAATGCTCCCCCATAAACATCAGGGTGATATTACTCATCAAATTAACTGAAGAGGACCTTATATGAGAGATAATATAGTTGACCGTTTTTCATAAACATATTTTATACCAATTTAGGTTCATACAAAACATCTTTACATCGAATATCACTTCCCGACACTTTCCGCACGAAATTCGGTGCGAAGATTTACGTTCCTATAAACGTTTCTTATATAAAATTTCATAACTGTTCACGTATTTTTAAGTCAGCAAAGATCGTTAAAGTAATTTTCTTATGGACCGATCCTCAATACATTTGGTAGAGAGGTTTTAACTCGTATAAAAAATATGTGTGCCGAATTTCATTACTTTTCTGTATTCTGTATTTTTAAGCCAGTAATGATCGGTTAAGTAATTTTTTGAAGGGCATCTTATATGGGAAGTAGGGTCAATTATGGACCGATCCACATAAAGTTTGATAGAGAGATTTTGGCTTCATTGAAACTTATGTGTGTCGCATTTCATCACTATACTCGTATTAAGCCAGTAATGAGCGTAAGTAATTTTCTGAAGTCATATTCTGAAGGGGACCTTATATGGGCGTTAGGGTCAATTATGGACCGATCAACATAAAATTAGGTAGGGAGATTTTGGATCATATGAAACTTATGTGTGTTAAATTGTATCACTATACTCGTATTTTTAAGCCAGTAATGAGCGTAAGTAATTTTCTGAAGGGGGCCTTATATGGGGGGTAGGGTCAATTATGGACCGATCCTCATAAAATTTGGTAGGGAGATTTTGGATGTGTTACAAACTTAATGACAACATCAATATACCCCCCATCTTTTTTGATGGTGGGTATAAAAATCAAGCATACAGCGAATGAGTAATATTTAATTGTTTTAAATAATATTTATTACGTATACGTTGAGGAGATAAACAATTTCTTGGTATCACCAAATATTCCACTCTCAAATATGTAATTAGAAATTCAAGGACTTAGTAATAAAATGACAATTTTTATTTAATTATCACTTTTATGACCATATTCCCTTTTAACAAGTTAATATTTTAAGTTACACATTCAACACATATGTATGCTAAATTATTTAAATAATCAATATGCAAACCGAAAAACATGCTGATGCCCTTGAGCAATTACAAATCAATTAAATAATGTTTAAATAATTGTATGTATTTATGCTTGCACAAGACATCGTTAATTTAAAATAAAAAAATTAAATTAAAAAATATTGCAATTAAATTAATATTTAAACACCTCCAGAGTTTCTGATTTAACATTTTACAGCAACAACTGCAGTTTTACACCAACACGTGCCTTCATAACATTTAAACTCTCTCACACACACACTTATAAATTCTCGTACATATTTGACCATTACAAACAATGTTTAACTGCATTTAGTTAAAAAAAAAAACAATACAGTAATTTTCAGTTTTACTATATACATATGTACATATGTATATTATTGCTACTGGTCGGTCCATGCTGTTTATCTTCCAAAAAATGCGTCTACTGTTGAAATTGATTGTGTGAGTGAGCGAGCAAGTAAATGTGACATCTGCATCGGTTGCAGAATGTGTGTGGGATTTTAGGATTTTTTAGCTTTAACACATTGGTTTGTATGTTTTTTTTTTTTTCATACGAAAACTCACAATTTGTTTCGCACGAAGGTGGTTTCATTCATGTGGCCTTTATCTTGATTTATATCAAGTTAAAAGTATTCATTTCACTTTGGACTTTTATATTTGTGTGTGTTCGTGTGTTTATCTGTCTGCTTGAATGTATGTACGTTTATTTGTAATTGTATAAGTGAGAGTTTCCGGTTTATATGTGGGTTTTGTATTGCAATCATTTGCATAAGACTACATAATATGTAACTGTAAAAACTTTTTTACAACAGTGCTGCATATATGTTGGGGTAAATGGTACAATGTATTTTTGTATCTTTGCCCAATAAAAGAAAACCACTATGCAATATGGCTATTCTGTATATTAATGGTCGTTGGATTAAACAGATACAGTCGACAATTGAAAAAGACGAAAAGGGCAACTTTTCCCATATAAACGCATTTAAACACTTTGGCGACGATGCGTGGTCTATTGCCCTCAAATTGAATAAGTAATGTTACAGTCACTATTAGAAGTTGAACCGAGAGAAAAGCTTATTTTCGACCCACCCTGGATTATTTCAGAAACTGAAAATTGTATTCCAAAGTAATCTATAATTTAAAATCGTCAATAATTACTAGAGTCCGACCGAACTCAAAATTTCGCCGAACACCGAACATTGACCGAACCTCACATTTTACCGAACTCCGAACCCGTACCCGAACGTTCGGTCGGACACTTATAATTACTTTTAAAAAGTACTTAACATCATTATCAGTTGAACATTTAAATACGCTCACATAGTTTTTGTTTTAAAACTCTCACTCCCTTGGCGCAAAACCGGATAATATGCAATTAATTGCATGATATTTTGGGTCAATGAAATATGGACTTTTGTTTTAAATAAACATTTTATTACAAAAATCCCACACACATTTGAACAATTTATACCATTTAAACCAACTTACATGCATATTGTATCTGTGTGTGAGTTTGTACATATGTATGCAAGTGTATAAACACGTTTACATGAATAAAATATCCATCCTCACAATGGTCATGTATCTGATATGTCATAGTAAGTTGTAATTTTGTTTTTGTTTTAATAAATGTTATTTTAAATGCAGCGATAATTAAACATGACACTCAATTATTGTTAATTAGAGACTGTGTTAATTAACTTATGGGTTTTTTTTTTAATAGAATTTATTATTAGTTTGTTACATATTGTATCATAAAGGTCCCAGTCGAACTCTAAACAAATTATTTAAAATTGAAATTTAAGTTTCAATCAGTTAGATACATTTTTCTTCAAAAATATAATTTTGATAATTCTGGCCAACAAGTTTTTCCAGATGTTTAGGTCTCTAATTTGAATACGAAATATTTTTAGAATCAGTTCATTATTTGACCCTATCCACTCTAACACTTTCAGAAACAATTTTAAACAATTTATCGGATTTTTAAAAACATAGTTACGTTTTACTTCTATAAGTCATAATCTTAGATTTAAATTTATCATCTGATATCGCCCTAATTGCCATCTGACTGTCGGTAAATACATATGCTAAGCCCTGTGTGCGCAATATTTATTCTAATCCAATTTACGCATTCCGTTACTGCTCGGACTTCTGCTTGGAAGCTAGTGTTGTGATAAGGTAAACGGTGGTATATTTCTATTTCTGGGTCTTCAATGTAGAACCGCAGGCCCACGTTGTCGCCCAATTTAGAGCCATCCTTGTAGCAACGGATTCCCACAGGTATTGCTCTTATGTACCGCTTGCCCAAGACATTCTATCTGGGATCAGTGTTTCAAAGTTACCGACATATTCTGTGTCTGGTATGCGATCGGACACACACGATGATTGTGTATAGCCTTCCAATGTGTCCAGTATACATTGATGACGTTTCCTATATAGTTCGCCTAAAGTCGTTAGGTTGTAAGTGTCGCCTCACATATTATATATGTTTCAATGGGTGGAATATCTAGCAACGTTTCCATAGCCTTGATAGACATAGTATTCATGGCAGCACTTATATACAAAGAAGTCCACCAGATTATTGAAGCACAAGTTAGAATTGGTCTAATTACACTTTTATAACGCCAATGTGTCATAGTAGGACTAAATAAGACCGCATTGATCCTATCCTCTATGTGGTATCTCTATCTTAATTTCCGGCACTTAACTCTATGTGTCACCGTGATCTTCTTGCCCAGGAAACAGGGTTCAGTATTCATACTTAGAAATTTTTGTCTATATTGTGAAAAGACAGATTTTCGTCTTCGCCGGGTTGACATTGAGGCCTCTCGGTTAAGTCCAGCTCAAGGCCGTATTCAGAGCCTCTTCAGCACACAAGTAATTTATAGTTGACCCTTTATTGAAGGCGCCTTCAATGTCAATGCATACCTCCTGTGTATACAGTATGCCATCGAAGGATTCACCTATATAGTGGACATATTTTAACGCGGTTTCCACCGATCGTCCCTTTACATAAGCATGAGTCTTATATTTGAGGTCTTTGTCTAGTATACTGATTTTAACCAAACCATCAACTATCTGTTTCAAGTTCTCGAACTAACCTTGGTGTAAATTTCATCCCGCTCGGAAGACATCAGTTTTAAAAGTATGGTCACTTAACATGAAATCTCCTATATATGACAACTTTCCGAAATTCGCTCTAAATTTACTATACTTGCTCTTAGTTCCGACATTGCTGAATATAAAGCTTTTACATGTTTAAATTGAAAACGTTTATATTAAATTTAACACTTCCATCTTACAATGATATTATTTTAATAACTATAATAAATAACACAAAATTATATAAATTTTTAACAGTTTCCGTTTTATGTTAACTCCAATCAGAAAATCAAATTACGATTGCATCATGTAAAATTAATCGAAATTACATTATAAAAGTACAAGCTTGTTCAGAAAATTATTTAGAAATTGTTTAGTATAAAGATCCCCATAGACATGGAACTAAAATTCATTATTTTTACTGGATTTTTGTTGTTTACCATAGTTTCAAATACATCGGCCGATGAAGAAAAGAAAAAACTAAAATTGGTGCTAGACAAGTTGGATAAAGTCAAGGATGCTGAACATATATTAAAAACGGATATAACTTTTGATAAAGTCGGAGAAGATGAGGTCAAGATCAATGGTCAAGTTGAGCAGTCCGTAGATTTGGATGATGAATATAAGGTAAGTACTTATATACACTACTACTCAAGTATACAACTTTAGTACTGAGTTCTTTTATTTCCTTTTCAGATAAATATGGATGTTTTCCATTGCTCCGAAGAAGATGGCGAGTTTAAGAAAGTAATTGGAGTGGCTAATGTCGGTGTCTGTCAAGTCATGGCAAATCAATATAAAAAATATTTCTATGACTCGTTGAAAAATCATTCCAACGCTCCTGATCCTGACAAATGTCCGGTTACACAGGAAACCTATGTTATAAAGGATTATCCTCTAGACTCAAGCAAATTTCAGAAATTCTTACGGCCGGGATTTTATAAAATTTTAGTTTCTTTAATTCACCAGGAAGAGGAAGTCTTACAATATACAATCGAAGGTCATACAGAAGATGAGTAACTTTTTAGGAGTTTTTTATTATTTATATTTGCAAAAAAAAATCAAATAAAAAGTCGACCACACCATAAAGAAGTGAATGTCGTATTTTAAGTTTTAAAAATTCTGTATTGAGTTAACAATTTGCAGGTATGGATAGTAGATCCGAGATCAAAAAAAATGTATCACAACTGTAGCAAAGATATTCCAAATGATATACCCAACATAATATTGATATATTGGAAGACAAACAAATGGATGGTTAGAACGTTTAATGGATTGAAGCTTAAATTAGGAAATTAGTAAGTTTAGTTACACAGTTCGCTCTCAATCTAAAAGTTTCAGAATCGTGTTTAGCCCTGAAAGCTATATAAAATCCTGTTAGTGTGGAGTCTAATTAGACCCAATTCCTGGAACAAGTTCTGGGTCATTCTGATTCTGATACTACTAGCGGTTATAGGACACGTCATTAATGTATACTATACATAATGTACAACTACACAGAAACATGAGAAGTGTTTGATCGGATATCAGAGACCCAAAACTGTGGGTAATTATGAACACCGATCCCAAGATCATGGCAGAGAAAAACATTGAAGCAAATACCTGTGTGAATCCAATGCTACTAAACAGGGAAATAAAACGCTCCTGAGGACCTACATTGGAATATCAGAAACCGAGATTTACTACAATCTAACTAATCACAGGCGGAATTCCATGTTATAACGAAATGTTTAAAAGATATTGGATTACTTAGAAAAACTTAAGCGAGATAGTGCGAAAACTATCTAATATAATATAACGGACCACAAAGATCCTTTGGGGTGATACAAACGGATCCTTGTCACCGTTAAGCTTATGCAGATTAAGGAAGTCCGCGGTTATCGTAATTATACATAAACAATATTGGACGTGCAGATTCTCATGAAAGTAAATGTGGAACACTTTCTGTTATACCGATATTACATTCTTCGGATACACTAATTAGAACACTACTAGATAACGGAAGACAATATCTTTTTTTTAGATAAAATTTTCTATGAACAATAGACCCTATGACGGACTAAGTATATTCCTTCAGATCTGATGTTGTTTTCAGAGCAGACATGGAACATTTAGAGCGGGTTTTTGAGATGATAATCAAATGCCAATTAATAATCAGATTAGTTAATCTAAAAATAAATTAAATATTATGTTAATCCCCTTTGATGTTTTTGAGTACAAGATTAAACTTCGCAGTGTTGCCATACAAAACAACAGAAAACTTCACTGTTTGTTATCAAAACAATGCATATTTTATAAAAAAGAAGAAGACAATTGTAAATTTAATATGAAAATTAATGAAAACTTTAATTAAAAACAAAAAAATGTATTTTGAAGTGTCCATAATTTATACTAATCAAAAAAAAGAACATTTTAATGTTTATATTTATAAAAATTGTATTAATTTTTTTGCATCAGCTATTTACACTTTTGCATTTCGTGCTTAAGATTAAACCACCTCCATTGGGCGCTTAAACTTGCAAACAAAATTAACTAATTGAGTACTCAAAAACATCTTTCGAGGATTAATTTTAATTTAATCGCTAATCTTTCACCTAAAGATTAGCCCTTAATAGTACTTTTTATAGATTAACCGTCATTTTCACAATGTATAGTTATTTTTTAACTTTAAGATATTTTGACAGTTATCATACAAAAATTGTCTTAACTGGAAGAATAACTACCAGTTAAACGATAACGGGAGGTGGTGAAATTCGCGGTAAAAGTAAATTAGACTAATCTATAGTGTAGACAAGCTAGTCTATACACCAGTCTATTGACAAGTTTATTGACTACTTCATCGACTGATCTATTGACTAGCCTATGCACAAGTCTATATACTACCCTATGGACTAGTCTATTGACTAGTACACGCATTAAAATATGGACTAGTTAATGGACAAGTCTTTAGAGTAATGTGTAGACTACTGTATGCACTGTTTATGAAAACTTGTAATAGGTATGAAAAAGTACTTAGATTTAAATATCTGAGTACATATAAGCATCTTCTTTTTAACCTAACATAACCTACGCAAATAATAAATTTTCAATTAATTTTCAAAATTTCCATTTATTTTAATTTAAATTGTTATGTATATAAATAAACGAAAAACAATTATTCTTATATAATTGAATAATTTTACCAAAAATAAACACAATTTAAAAACATGCAACGATATAACATGATTTAATAAAATAAACAAGGATAACATTTAATAATATGAAAATTAAATTAAGTTTCAAGGACAATTTTATTAAACAAATTTGTCACTTATTAAATGTACGTATGTATATTTGTAAATATTTCTTTTTATTTTTTAAATACTTATTTAAATTATACTTATATTTTTCAATATTATTAATAATATTTGAATGCAATTAGGTATACTTTTTTTTGTAATATATTTAAATTTTTTAAGGCAATGCAATTTGATTTGTATGTTTATAGTAAGCTTGAATAAAAATCGAGTACAGTTTTAAATTTAAATATAAAATATTCTAGCTAAGAGGTAACAAACTAAAAAAAAATTATTTAAAGGAACAATCAATGGTTAAGTATATCAATTAAAATATGTTTGAAAGTAATGAAAAAATAAGGAATAATTTAAAATTAAACACATAATTTTGTTTATTATTAATTGAGCCATATTTTTAAGTTTCTAAAAATATAAAACAATAAATTCAATTTCAAATTAAATTTTTAATGTATCTTTAAACGTTCGTAAACAATTAGAATTATTTGGATAATATTATGTCTTGTTACATCGATACCTAAAAATCATTCAGAAGAGCTGTTTCATAGTGGAATTACGACGTCTAGATTTACAGATTATGACAAGTATCTAAAAAGAATTTCCTTATGTTCGAATAATTGGTAATAAGTTATTTCTAACTAACAATTTCAAACTTGTGTGTTAATTACATTACATTTTGAAAGCTTTTTCTTTCGATTTGAATTTTTAAATTGTTTTCTGAAAGATCTTATAGAAAAGTTCTAAAAATGATTTTATAATTAAATCATTTAATCTAGACTGAAATCAATTAATTTGCTTTCATTAAACTAAAATGTAATAAAATTTTAATCAACCAAATTATTTCCAGAAAACGAATTTAAAGAAATCTATAAAAAATGTCTTTTTTGAAGAAAATATTACCGGTAAGGCGGGGATAATAGATAAGAATATAAGCATATGTCTACTGAGTCTAGTAAATTGATCTTTTATTGTTCTCAAGATGATTTAATCTAAACTACAAATCTCTATTGAATTATTTATATCCTATCTTTCCTTTATTATACTGTTTTTTCATCATACTTCCTATAGTAGAAGTTAGGATATACCCAGTTTAGGTAAACTTTGATGTAGAAGATACGTTAAAGTCAGTTCTTATATTCCCAATTTCCTTTACTAACGCTAATAACAACACTATCGACAACTTCAACCATTAGCTAAACAAGTTTAAAAACATTTGTTAAAGTTTAATAAAAAATTAACAAATTTTACTAAAACAAAAGAAAAATTATTTGAAAATAAAACTAAAATTTAATATAAATATTGTCTTTATGATGTAGAAACATTAAATAGAACGAAATGAAATAGTTTAGAAATAGAAAGTAATTAATATGTTTAACAAATTTCACTACGCCTGCGATTCACTGGAATCCGAAGAACCTACAATGCTTTGCATACTTGGTTCGGACTCAGATCTTTTGTGCGTACGTCTGCCCAACATCGTTTGACCTGTAGTGGTTGTCGATTTAGGACTACTGGTGGTAGGTGTTGTGGTGACATTGGAAGTTTGTTGCAGGTCTGGTTCACTTTTTGCTAAGGCTTCTTCTACAAAACCAGCTGTAGACGAAGTAGTATTTGGTTCTAAAATGTGTTCATTTAAACAAACATCATCTAAATCCACATCACTATTGGAAAATAAGGCAGTGGCACCCAATTCCAGAGAACTCTTTACATCCAAGTCCATTTCATTGTGTGTTAAATTGGTGCCAGAAGTAGGGGTATTTGAGGAGGTTGAAGACATGTTACGTGATGATTTATTCAAGACACCCGGTGCACTGTTGCAAGATGTATTGGATAAAGTTTTGCTTACTTGTTTAGGGGTAGAAGTGTTGGCTGAAATATTTAACATATCTGTGGGTGTTAAGTCCACGGTAAGTGATCTTTGCAAGGAATAATTTCCAACACTACTACCACCTCCAACATTATCAGCAGAAGAGGGATGTGTGGGTGATGTAGCCATATCTGAACGATTATGTTTATTGACAGGCGGTGAGCTGGGTAAATTCTCCACACCCGGCATACCCATAGTGGCGGTATTTGTATTGCTACCCACAGGTGGCACATTAGTCATGGAACTTGGAGTCGATGAATTACATTTCTCATCTTGATGTTCTTTCATTAATTTACAAGCTTTACCCAAAGCACAGATAGTAAGGCATATTCTCAGACCCAAAGCAAAACCATATGCCAACAAAAACAATATCCAAGCTCCTAAATTATTAAATGACACCGCTGAGTAAATAGCTTTAATCAGCACCACAGCCAGAGGAAAAGGTATAAAACCCATACGTCTAGCCACCAAATCTGAATGATCCGAAAAGGCATGCTTCTGTCGTGTTTGAGTCATGTCATAGGCCAAGCTTGTTGTATATTCACGATAAATATATTCAGGCAATTCATTAAATCTAGTTATAAATGCATGTTTTATCCAATCTATTAGAATTTCAGTTATTAGCACCGAAAAGCAATCGGGTAACATTACACAAAACTGTGTAAAGCTCCAGTCGAACTCTTTCATTGTCTGTATCATCACTATGAAAAGTAAAACGGATAAATGGAATCTTTCACGTACATCACTGCAAGTCAATTGAAATAAATTATTCTTATCGAATTTTTTAAATACTGATCCTTTAAGTTCCACAAAATTGTTCGATATCATAATGGTTAAAAGTCCTTTGTTGTTGGAGTTTACTGCAACATTTAAAGTGGTGGCCTGGAAAAAAAAGAAATTAATTACGAGTAAAAAAATAACTAAACCACTATAGGTTAAATGATCCAACTATCAGGCCTGTCACAGAATTCCATTTCGATCGAAAGTGGAATTATCTTTCTTAATTTTCTTCTTCAAAAAAGGAAAATTACAACTTTTTCAGAATAAAACCATTTCACATTTTCAACGTGGAATTGACAATAGTGACAATAGTTTAAAGTTTTTAAGTTCTTATTGATTTATTTACAAGTTATAATTCCACTTTCGATCGGAATGGCATTATGTGGCAGGCCTGTATATTGAGAGAGATAGAGAGATGAGAGATAGAGAGACAAAAGTCATATATTAAGATTTCGGTGGTGTTAATTAATCATAATTGAATATACATCAACTCACCTGAAACATTATCAGAAAACTATGCAAGACCACATATATCAATGTAAAAATGATGTGTGTTATTAAACCAAAATGTTCACGTTTCGAGTTTTTCGGTTCTGTAGCTGTCCAAAATAATGCATCTATAGTATCCTGACCAAAAGCGGATAACAATCTATCACCCACTTCCAGCATATTATAGAATAGATATAATTTAATTATAGATTGCGATTTAATTATGTGATACACTCGATTCGTATCGACCGATAGCATTAGAAGTGTAACTGCAATCCATATAGTGCCCTTAAGTAAGTCACATATTTCCGCCGGTGTCAAAAGACGTTGTGTACGCCTCCTTAAACCCAAACAGCTGGCAATAGGACGTGTCAACATGCCCCACACAGCCAGAGCAAAACGTACCGGCAAAAATGTGTGTATGTACAGAAATGAGTCGGCACATTGCATGATGCCATAAACCATAAAACGTTCCAGGTCTCGAGGTATACGCATAAATGAATAAATCTTTTTACGCCTGGCCGTATAGCGTTCCTCATCGTGTTCAAGTAGATAGCCTCTTGTCATTTCCAATTTGAAAAAATCCATAAACGAAGGAGCTTCTGCAACAGAAATTCACTGCATTATTTTTTATGGCTTACTGATTCTTTAGTATATTCCTTTCACTTTAACCAGTCTATTAAAGTGCGACTCAAAGCAACAACAGGTTTTCTGCATTTTTCCTCACCCATAACGCACGGCACACAACTTACCCTTTTCCCCCTCTTCTGATTCTTTGGCTACTTTTGTCGCTGTATCGTTGCTGTCTTTATTATTTGTATTTACACTCCCACTAGAACGTCTGTGACTGAAGCCAGCAATTGCTGCACCGCCACCATCCACCTCATCGTACAAGTCATCGATGCGATTTTGAAAATTTAAATCACCCCGAAATCTTAACTTTTTCGATGTCATTTTCGGTTTTCTTTAGAAAAAAATTTAGCTATTCAATTATTTAATTACATTAGTACTTTTTAATGTTTTAAAAGTTGAGCAATATTAATAATTTTATAATTTTTTTATTATTTTCCAAGTTTAATCGCGAATTTATTTGTTTTTATTGAACGAGTCACTGTTTTTTTGGGGAGCAAGAAATGTTTACGAAGAAAGTATTCACAATAGAGATCAAAACAAACGTCATTGTTATTTTTCCATTCACAAACACTGTTTCCAATTAGAATAGAAATGAGTAAGTGTACTAGTGATGGGCAGGTGACAAATATTATAATAGATATTAATTTAATTCAACACAGACTATTTGTAATATTTTCATAATAATTTAAAAAAAACGTCGTTTTGGTGATTTTCGATGCGTGATAACAGCAAAATAAATAGGTGTAATCTCTCTTATATCTTCTTCCTTCTTCGATATATTAATACTTAGTTTAAAACAAATTATATATTGCCTTTATTTTACCGCAAAAACTTCAATTGTCGATATCCCAGGACATGCAAGAGATTTTTAGTATTATTGGAAAATATATGAGAAATTGTGACACATAAGTTTGTTATAAAATAAATGTTTGTTTCGAGCTTTAAATTAAAATATCTCGACTAAAAAAGAAGTAGCAGAGATTAAAAACTTATTTTAAAGTTGAGGGATTGGATAGATCATGTGATATAACAAATTTAAATAAAATATGAAAATGTCTTCGAGCTGTAATATATATCGAAAACTTAATGTGTTGGAGAAATCCTGAACCCAGATTCGGATTCAGGTTTGCTCAATTTTTAATAAAAGAATACAATGGTGCTTGTTTTAAAAATTTGGTATTATACATTAGGGTTCTATAGATGAAACGAAAAGTCGACTTTTCGACTTTTTTCATTTAGTTAAAAGTCGACTTTTCGACTTTTTTCATTTAGTTAAAAGTCGACTTTTCGACTTCTCGACTTTTTGCATTTTATGAAAAGTCGATTTTTCGACTTTCCGACTTTTTACATTTAATTAAAAGTCGACTTTTAGACTTTTCGACTATAAGTATTTTATAAATAGTCGACTTTTCGACTTTTCAAATTTTTTTTCGACTTTTTTCGACTTTTTCCGACTTTTTCCGACTTTTTTCGACTTTTTGACTTTTTTCGACTTTTCGATTTTTTCGACTTTTTGACTATTTCGACTTCTTTCGACTTTTTTTTCGACTATTTTTTGACTTTTTTTCGAGTTTTTCCGACTATTTTAGAGTTTTAGACTTTTTTTCAATTTTTTTTAAGATTTTTGACTATTTTTGACTTGTTTCTACAATTTTCGAGTTTTTGACTTTTTCCGACTTCTCGACTTTTTCCGACTTTTTACGACTTTTCAACTTTTTTCGACTTTCTTCGACTTTCTTCTACTTTTTTCGACTTTATTCGACTTTTTTCGACTTTTCGACTTTTATTAACAAAGTCGACTTTTCGACTTTTTTCACAGACCATAGTCGAGTTATCGACTTTTTTGGAACAAAATAGTCGACTTTGACTTTTTTCGACAAAAAGTCGATTGTTCGATTATTCGAAAGTCGATTTATAGAACCCTATTATACATGTATACTGCTCCGAAACCTATAATCTTTGATTCTTTGATTCTTTCTTCAAATATAGCAGTTCACATTTAATATTTTTAATATTTTTTTTCTTTTTTTTTTTCAATATTTCTCCAAATTGTGTTTGACTCATGCATGGTCTGAATTTTAAATCGAAATTATGAATTTTTAGTTACATACCTTTTTAACGGATATTTTCAGTCGCTTTAATCACAATTACACGAAATGTCAATGTACCCTATTGTGAATGATTAGTCTTTACTTATAAATGAAAGTTGAAAACAAAATAGCAAAAATATTTGACAGATTGATTTTAGATTTTTCTTTGCTGGCGAATTGTAGAATAAAATTCTCGTGTAAAAATTGCTTTTAAATATTTAAATTCCTATAAATACTTAAATTTGCTTAACAAAGTTAATAAAATTTACAGACTTCAGTTTTAAATACACAAATTCAATCAATGTGATTAAGCAAATCGCCGGTTAATGTTACGTGATAACATAACAAGAAGAAGCATAAATAAAAACACAAGTAAGGGTGGGGGAGCTGAAAATGAACAACAATAAATGAATCAAAACAAACATTAAGAAAAATTTACCAACAAAAGAGAATACCACAAACACGATTGCGCAGTCTGCTCCACCACAAAAAATAAGACCAAAAACAGAAATCAAGAAACACGCCAGAGACACCAGTCGCTACAAATATTTTGACATTCAGTGTCTATCAAAACGGAGTACATACGACGAGAGAAGAAGAAAAACGAATCGAAAAAGAAAAATCCATACGGGAAACAACCACAAAGTGAAATTATTAAAGAAATAAAATCGAGTGTGTGTGTAGTGAGTGCGTGAAAAATTTTCTTGCACACCAAAAGAAAAAGAAACACTCACTTCTATTTTCGATTAAAATTAAATAAATCAAAGTAATTAAATGTATTAAGGAAAATTAGTGGGAAAACGTGATTAAATTTGTGTAAAAATCTAACCACAATGGGTGAAACTACCCCGCATACACCAGCTCCATCACCTACTGATGAACATGCTGCTGCTATGGCTGCTGCAGCCAGTGGCACCACCACACAGCCAACACATTTTAAGGTGATAATTATTGGAGCTGGTATGTCTGGTCTATCGGCTGCCAATCATTTGCTGCAAAATGGCTGTGACAGCTTTTGTATATTGGAGGGACGTGGTCGCATTGGTGGTAGAATCGTCTCAATACCATTGGGACAACAGAAAGTAAGTTAAAAAGGCAATAATAAGGCCAACACCAGCAAATCTTATGTAAGACACTTTGTTTTATTTTTGCAATAATCATCATCGCTTTGAAAAAGAAGAATTACATATTTGTCTAAAAGGGATGATGATGATGGCACAATAAATAAATAAATAATGCATGTTGTATATCGAAAGTTAATTTTGTGTTATGGAATCTTCTCCCTTTTTCCTTACGAAACCAACTTGACATATTTTCAGTGTTTTATACTCAGTTTTCTTTATTATTTAGTCAGTCCACTTCTGTATATATTTTTTTTTCACTTTTCCCTTTTATAAATCTTTGTATGTATTTTTATCGCTTTCCCAAAATTTAAAATTGCGAATCTTTGGCCAGCTCTTTCTATGGCTATTTTTATAAGCATTAAAAGGGTCATATACAATATTTCCTTTTAATTTTTTTATTTAGAACAATTGTCAAGAGTTTAGATATGAAATCGCCTTCTCCGTCTGTATGATTTGTGTCTTCCGTATACGTTGTTGAATTTAATTTTAAATTACAATTTTCATCGACTGTTGCTCCACTTCTGTCTCCTTAAATGTATTCCCCTCCCATAGCATTGTGGGCTTGAAATTCTGTTGCATTTCTCACTGCGTGTATATTCGTTCAACACACATTTATTCGCACTTTTTATTGACGTCCTTGTTGTGGGTTTATTTTTCGGCAAATATGTAATCGTTTCAGTTTTCACTTTGTTGCCAATTTAATCATATACACCATTTTCTGTGTGAACACAATTTCCATTTAATTTATTTATCAACAATTAGTTTGAAATAGGGTTTTGATCTTAGGGTTATATATTAGGTATAAAAATTGGTTAATTTTTATTATTATAATGTTGCAATTGCAATAAACAAAATCGAAAACTCGGACTTATATTCGAAATATGGCTAAAATAATGTCTAAATCATCACTTTTCAGCATTAAAATCCATAATTTATATCAAAAATTTCATGAATTTGAGCTTTATTTAAAAATCTAAAATTTTAGTTAAGAATATAGATTTTTGGAAATGGTGTAGAAACCTTAAACTTGATTGATTTGTTGGTGTAATTTTGGGAAGGTTTATGACATGTGTGTCTGCTTAATATGACCTTCAGCAAAAAATATTTGTAAACTATTGTTAAATAATATAAAAATTTACCTTTTACACCTTATTATACACAGGTATATCTCTCTACAATTAAAAACAAAAACATTTAGTATTAAAGCTAACTTTCTCAAATGTGGTTTAGTAACAGTCTTGGTAATTCGATAATGTACAACATCTGTACGAGAAAAAGTTTCCTAAGGAAGATGGAATACTAACCTGTTCTTGATTGAATGTGTAGATTTGAGTTTGAAATCTAATGTAAGTCGCCTGCATGTTGAGGTTGTAATGGAGTAACATTTTCAGTGGCTATTCGTCTGATAGTACCATGTAATAGGACATTGTTTTAGATATCAAACTATAATGAAAGTTGAATGGCAACAATAAAGCATTAAAAGCAGAAATTGAGATTTATAGACAAAGAATGGACACGATTCCCAAAAGTTGTGAGTTATAACATCTACATATTAACAGGAGTTAAAAAAAGTTTCCTTGGCTAGTCCATTTTTGCACAATTAATTTGTTCTATCGAGAATTGGACCATAGATCTAATATTTTACCACAACTTCTTAGAGCTTATATATACTGCCAATAGCCCATCATTAACTTTTGACATATTGTCATGACTCCATTCTTCTTTCCCAGTAGAGGTCAGACTCACCTATGTCTCTTCGGTCTCTTTACTTTGTACACCAATTCTCAGTAGTAATACTACAGTTTAGTATTTACATCTATAGTCTTCACTTTATACTCACCAGATGTTGTTTTTGTATCCTGTTGCATCATACCAGATCTACCTTTTTGAAATTTAATAAAAGTGTCAATAATATAAATTAAATTTCCCGAATTAAATTCTTGATTGCTCTATTTCAATATTAATTTAATGTATTAAATAAACAAAACATTGTGATATTTTTAAGACTTAAGTATAAAACCACATATTTCGTAAACACAGTACCGGCCTTATAATAAATAAAAAATATGTACAATGTATCTTAAAAACCCAAAATTCCAAACATTTCAAAATGTTCTTTTAAAAATACTTAAGACATTGGCTAAAATTTTATCAAAAATACAGCTGTTTGTACTTTTCAATAATCTATCGATTAATCAAAAACTGTCATTAAATTTTAAATAGATTTCTTAATATGTTCATATATCTTCTACGAGTGAATTAACCC